TTTTTTAAACCTTACAATAGACTATTGACAATTAGGCAATTAATGGTCTTAAAATAGCCTCCATTATCTTGATGCTAAATATAATTTCTCATTATACAGTAGTTATTTGTGAGATTCACCCTTGGAGGTAACATATAAAGTGCAATTGACAAACAGGTATATGGTAATTAATATCATTTTTATAATGCCACTTTTATAAAGTTTGTTAACATTGTTTATTATAACTGCACGTTCATAATAGAGATCACAAGCATAATAGCAATATCTAGTTGATGACTTTTTTTTAAAGAATTATTTTATAAAAATCAATGCAATCAATCTTTTCCCAACCAACCTAGAACAGACAGCCTTAGAGGAAATGAATTCGCTATAATCATTAAAAATAAATCAATAATAATTAAGAATCTAATAATATAAATAAAATAAATGAAAATAAATAAATTCATTCATTCAAGAGACTGCACTCACACATAGGAATTTCTAGCTGATAAAATCTTTTTGGAGTACAAATAAAAAGAAAAATCACTAAAGAAATTTTCATGAAGTTATTAATAGATACATTTCTTTTCCAGGCTAATGGCCATGGGTAACCTGACGTTAGTCCTATTTTGGTCCAGGATCATATCAGACGGCCAGCTGTGGAGTTTTTCAGTTCTCTCCAGCTGAGCGAGATGTTTGGAGTGCAGTCAGGGGATAAGGGACAGGATAAATGTCTACTTGCACCTGCAGCAGCATCCTATTAGACGCAAGACGTTCTCTCAGAATTGCAGAAAACGCAGCTGTCTGTCTCAAGGGTTTGAAGTGACCGAATAATTAAACTCTTTTTCTGTCTCAGAGAGATGCTGGGAAGGCTCAAGGAACTGTTGCTTGGAACCATCAACAAACTACCTGAAGATAGCGACTATCTGAATATGAAACCACTCAACAGCCTTCATCTGAAGAACTGAGAAAGATGAGGATGGAATCATATGGTGGTAAACAAAAAATGTAATGTTCCCACTTCTAATTGGAACTAGTGTAGCGAAAGAAATTATACCATCTGCAAATGACTAGCAAACAAGTGGCAACTCATGTTAATGGATGTAATGTAAATAAAGCCCATTGGTTATATTAATTTATTTAAAAAAGTTTAACATGTTCCTTTGAAACATGAATAGAGGAAAGAAAAGTGAATAAACAGGGTCTTTAACTACACTTTACAAATAGTTACTTAAAGTACAAGTTACTAACAAAAAGTAACTTCAGTAAAGCTATATCATATATCAAGATTACATGTTACGTTTTTTTATATATATTAAAGTATCAAGCAATATATCAATACACATAAATTGAACACAAAATTACTAAAAACATTAATCTGCACTGCTGTTCAAAAGTTTGAGGTTGGAAGGATTTTTTATTTTATTTTACTTTTTTGAAGGAAGTCTATTTTGCTCACCAAGGCTGCATTTATTTGATAAAAAAAAACTATTTACATTTTAAAATAACTGTTTTCTATTGCAATATATTTGAAATTATAATTTATACCTGTGATGGTAATGCTGAATTTTCAGCATCATTACTCCAGTCTTCAGTGGCACACGATCCTTCAGAAATCATAATTCTAATATGCTGACTTACTGCTCGAAAAACATTTACTGCTGTTTAATATACATATTTTAAATTATAATTTTTATTTTTAATTTTTTGATGAATAAAAAGTTCAAATGAACAATTATTTGAAATAAAAATATTTTATAACATAAATCTCTTTGTGACTTTTGATCAATTTAATGCAGCCTTGCTGAATCTTACTGACCCCAGACTTTTGAACGGTAGTGTAAATTGACACTAAACACAATGTAAATAAAAACACTAATTTATGTGAACATGCCAATAAACAGATAAGTACACTGAAATTGAACAACCGAAAACATACTAACAAACAGATATAGTGATAGATCTGTGTATAGCTCACCATTGTCTCCACCATGTTGGCTTTGTTGTTCCTCAGTGTCTTTTTTTCAGCAAATTTTCATTTTTGGGTGAACTATTCCTTTAAGTACAGTTATGGCCAAAAGTTTTGGCAGTGACATAAGTTTTGTGTTTTGCAAAGTTTGCTGCTTCAGTATTTGGAGATCATTTTTCCACATGTTTCTATGGTATATTGAAAAACAATGATAAGCATATCATAGGCTTTTATTGGCAAAAAATATATATTGAGTCAATATTTACAGTGTTGACCCTTGTTCTTCATAACCTCTGCATCACTGTTGGCACAACACAGGACTCATTGTAGCATTCACCTTTTCTTCTCCGATCAATTGATTTTCCAGATGCCCCAAACAGTCGGAAGGGAGCTTCATCAGAGAAAATAACTTTGCACCAGTCTTCTGCTGTCCAATCCTTGTACTTCCTGCAGAGTTTCAGTCTGTCCTTGACGTTTTTCTTGGAGAGAAGTGGCTTCTTTGCTGTCCTTCTTGACACCAGGCCGTTGTCCAAAAGTCTTGGCCTCACTGTGTGTGCAGATGCTCTCACACCAACCTGCTGCCATTCCTGAGCAAGCTCTGCACTACTGGTGACACGATTCTGTAGCTGACTCCTCAGGAGGAGACGGTCCTGGCGCTTGCTGTACACTCTGGGACGTCCTGAAGACTTTCACTGCAGTCAAACCTCTCTCCTTGAAGTTCTTGATCCGGTAAATGGTTCTTTCAGGTGCAATATTCTTTGTAGCAATTTCCTTGCATGTGAGGCCATTTTGATGCAAAGCGATGATGGCTGCAAGTGTTTCTTTGGAGGTAACCATTGCTAACAAGAACACAATGATTGGAAGCGCTTCTTCCCTCCTTTTATAGCAATCAGTCTGCTCTTACAATCTA